ACAATTTAAAGGTCAGTCTCATGCACACGTTGGCAAGGCATACACAGTGACAGTAAAATGGGGAAGTGGAAAGGGGGCGGGGTGGTTGGGCGCTCTGACACGTAAACACCAAGTGTAGACAAAGCTACTGGGGCATAAAATAAACAAATCAATGCGACACGAACGCGACTGCAAATTTATAGCATCGGAATTCCAATGTCACACAAATCTAACGACGGGTAACTTGACTTAAAAAAGGGAGTTCGGCGGTAAGAGCTTTAAAACCTAGTAAACAAATAGATCAGTTGTGCTTCAACTTCAACTCGGTTACGGTTTGCTGCACTTTTTCAGTCAAAATTGGATCACTTGTGCGCAGAAACAACAATGTGGATCACTGTTCCATTGCGAACATAATTCAGGGGAAATAAATCAAGGGAGACAAAAAACAGTAAACCAGCGGAAGTTAATGCTAAGTGACAAGAATCATATGCAATATTTTATGAAATTTTGGGGTAAAACGTTAATGTTAACTGGGGAAAAAAGGGATAGGTAGTTAAGACACAGAACTTTTTTTCATTTTTTTAGATGAATGGTGATATATATATTTATTTATTACATACTTTTGCAAAGCTTGAACACTTTAAACCTTAATCACTATACAATAGCATATATTAAATACATTCGTACACTGGTGTACTATCTAGATAGGTTTTAAAAAAACCTATGAGCAACGACCTGATAATTTTTTTTTTGCCAAAGCTGTGAAAACTATCTTGAAATAAAGTATCATGATTAAGATTGATTAACAAGTAAATAATTAAAAATATATTTTAAAAAATAATTCCTTTAAATACTGAAATGTAAAAAGTAACATTTATAAAAGACAAGAGATTATATTTAAGTTAGTCATTCAAATTACTTTAAATAAAGGCAAAAAAGCAGAAATCACTCTCTAGTAAAATTTGAAATTTGTAGCACTTTAAAAACTGATGACTCAAAGTGTAATTTAATTAGTGAAATCATTTCAGTTTATAATATATAGAATCTAATACATGAGGGGAAAATTCAATTTTTATTTTTTAAGAACGCCATTCTTTCAAAGTAGCCTACACAAAAACCACAATATGTAACTGTTTCAAAAGAAAAATCCTGAAGACCCTAAATGAAATATTAAACTAAATTTGTTTATTTAGAAATATATAGGATCTATATAGTGTATAAAATAAAGCAATTTTCAATTTTAAAAATATCAACGATAAACACATGTGACAAAAATGTTGCTTTTAGAAAATTTTAAAATAAAGTAGTACTAAAATTGTTAGTTAGGATTATATATAGAGCCCCCTATGGCCAAGGTATGTAGGCTTTATAAAATACTTTAATACTGATGTTTTAGCCAATATGTTCAAGGTTAGCCATTAGGATAAGCTAGATTGGGGCTGGAAAATGTGTTTTGATGGGAAACATTTGCTAATGAAAAGTGTAGCTAGCTAAATCAGAAGTATGCATACCCTTTTGTAGTTTAAACAGATAGCCAATCGTAACTCGCATTTAAAACACAACATATTGTTGATTCTTCTTTTATACTTTCAAAATAAACGCATGCTCTTTCACATGTTATCTACCCTTATTTTTATTTTAACACAGTAAAATAGGAACAATAGATTCCAACACAAAAAAATAAAGTTAAAAAATTATTTTTTTAAATTTTATTGTACGATTAGCAGGTTAGTATGTGGAGTGAGGTAAACACTGACTGTTCAGTTAGTTAATTGGAGAGCTTGCAATGAAAGGCAAAACACAGAGAGGTTGACCTTTACCTTCAACAATCAATGAACACTCATCTCAAATGGCATATTGGTTGCCTATGTATTGGCCAAGTATACGTCAACAAATAAATATGGATGTTGAATGAAAGACAAGGATACTGTACCTCTCACATCAATGGTAATTTTGGTATGGAGTGGAACTATTTTAATTTTTAAGACAATATAGAGGTATAAAATAATGCTATAATGAATAATATACTGTTTTCATACAGAAACTGATGGATTAATTGCATGATTAATAATCTCATTAATCTTTCCTTATCCAGTTTAATTTTAGAGGAATCATGCACATTTAACAAAAACCAATATGATATTTCTTATCCACCACCCCACCCTCTACAACCTTTATTTAGATCACTGCTGATCATATAAATTAAACGATTTCTAGGAACTAATGCCCCCTTCCCCCCACCACCACACACTTTAACAATACTACAATTGAGATTTAGCTTGTAAAGCCTTATTTTGTGTAGACTACATAATCATAGGGTCTATTTATAGGTCTAATCATCAGCATAACAAATGTGGTGCAAGAACTTAGAAGACTCAGCTTTGATCTGTAGTCGTTAAATAAAGTAGGCTCATTGCTACTGTGGTCAGGCTGCCTTGGCTTTTAGCATGAAACTTAGGCCTGCCTTTAGAGTAAACTTAAGTCGAACTGAACTATAAAATATTAATAAGTTACTAGTCTATTACTAGTAGTAAAGTAAAACTATGACATCAGACTAGACCAACTTAAATTTCTTAATATTAACATTAAATGTATAAAATTTGACCCAGAATCTAGGTGCTCAGAAGTCAATAGAAGTAGATAGATCATTTTATAAATGTTAATGATGATAGGCAATTACTAGTACTCATAATTATTGCATTTTGATAGGGCATACTCAAGCTATATATAGCCTATATATAATATAGAGAGATACTTAGTATAGATCCAAGAGGGCAGGTTTAAGTCTAATCATTTGTCATTTCATTTCTAAGAACTTCAATTAAATAATAAATCTCTATATCTAGATCTACCATCAGCCTTTAATTACAAGGACTATTTACACACTACAATAATTCTTATTAAAACTATTATTTGTATCAATTAGCCAGGCAACTACTACTCTCTAGCTAGTCTACTAAAACTATCTAACTAGATCTAGATCAAGCCAGACGTAGACTAGTTCACTAGATCTGTGGTTCTTAAATTGGGCTCAATCGAACCCCAGGGGTTCGATAACACTCAGTCTCAGAGATTTGGTGGAGGTGAAGACACAAACCCAACTCGTGTGATTAACAATCAGATTTTGTCAGTGGGAATGATAGAACTATTAAGAAGGGTCCTAGATGCGCTTATGAAATGGTGAAGCTCGGTACTTTCAAATCTTGATTTATATAGAGTCTAGACCAAGAAAAATACCAGTATACTCTCCGAGCATATAATAGATCTAGACTAGTAAACAAGTAGAGAGAGGGAGTTATTATTTTAGACTCTAAATAACTAAATATATCTAGAATGCTAGATCTACCAAGCTACCATTGAATATTACGCTCTATAATAATTTTAGTTTTAGTTAGATCTAGTAGGCCTAATGAATAATGAATTTAATGATTGATGTGTAAGAGTAAGACCGTACACTGCTAAAACATGAATAGGTCTTTAGAATCTAGATCAAGGCTTAGATGTATAAAATTATTTTTTAAAGGCCTACTTAATTAATAATCAGATAGCACTTAGCATAAAATTCTGACTCTACCCTAACACTCACTCAGTAACTGCGAACGCTATGCCAGGCTGTAGTTGGTCTACTCTACACTAGTAGTGTCAGAATTCTGATGATCATAGAAACCAATGTCCGATAATAGACTCTTCCATTTAACAAGTGTGTTGAGTTGTTTGTAGTATTGTAATTTCCACTAATTTTAATTTTATGTTTAAAATTAGGTTAGGGTACAGAAGGACTAGGGTAGGGGTTAGGGGCAGGGTTTGCATTGACATAAGCCAGCTTTGTGTATATTTAGTTAACTACCAGTAACCTAACGCCTTTTTTAAAGAAGTTTCTATTATGATATTATAGTAGATTCTATATTATACGGACACTGGTATAAAATTCCCCCGAGAATTCTAGGAGTGAGTTATTGCCCAAAACAGCTCGAGTCGAGATCTAGATCTTGAATAGATCAGTAATGTAAAGTAAAGTAATAGATCTAGATCTATCTCTAGAAGATCTACTTCTAGATTATAAATCTAGTCTAGATCTATGCCTTAAGCTACAAATATCAATAAAGTATGTTAGTATGACAGTATGACTGAGTATGAAGCTGTATCTCTATGTCAGTATGTCTGTATGTCTAATAATAATGTATAGGGGGTAATCTATCGTTTTGGGTACGTAAAATCGCCCGCGGCTATTAATGTACGAAAACGTTACCTCATTGTCAAGGCTGTAATAGAAGTATATTGTGATATGTTTGTGTCAAATATTATAGATAAATGAATAATAAACCTAAATCAATGGCTAAATATATCAATATAGGCCAGAAATTAACTTTAAACAGCAGTGTCTGCAAGCAAGATTTGCTATATAAACAGCAGCCATTTGTAAAATAGAGTGACTTCCGCCTGAATCTTGCGCTATAAGTCTATAAAAATAAAACTTTAACAAGATGGCTGCTATAGTAAATGAGCATGGTTGCATCTGTTGGAAACATCGCTGGTGTTCATTTATTACTGAAAAGTTTTAATTCAATTGTTTAGAAACAGGTACTTAAATGAAACAAGGAAACATTTTTGTATTTTTCAAAACATGAATCCTCCTCAAAATGTGAAATAATTATTAAAATGTAAGGAGTCACCTGTTTTTCACATTACTAGTCGCGGGCGATTTTACGTACCTAAAACGATAGATTACTTAAGATTACCGTTTAGGGTCCTACTGTTTACCTTCAGCACTAAGTGTCGTAAGTGAGTAACTAAAAAAACAGGTTTATAAGGTATAAAACTCACTAATTCTAATCTAATGCTAATACCTAATCTAGATTCTAGACTAGAAAATCTAGAATTTGTTTTGCTAGACTCTAGCGAGCCAGTGCCAGTAGTTAGATCTAGATCTAGATCTAGATCTAGAATTCTAGAATCTAGAGAGAATCTAGATCTAGAAGTAGCGGGCGGGTTGAGTAGTGTTCAAATCTTAACAAAATTACCTTTATTGACTTGTAAATCCTTATTATCGAAATCACTAGCAGTTACCAATATATTGTCCTGTTCCTCTTTTTTTAATATCATTGTTTTTATCCAAGTAATTTAAATAAAATGTAAGAAAATTTTGAGAGCAAAAACGTATCACTTTAGTCAATATTTAGCGTTTTTTGGCGTAGACGGAAAATTCCCGGAAGCTTTGTTGATTGGTTAGCCTCATGGTCACATGGTATGCGATAGCAGAAGGTAATTCCCCTTCCATGAAGTTGTTTATCATTTTCAATGGGCAGCCATCGCTGCTGAAACAAGATCTAGTCTGCCTCTGTGTCGTGCACGTGAGATCAGATTTTTTTGACCGAATATATCAGAAATTACTTTTAAATTGTATAATATTTATATCTACATTTGTACACAAAAAATAAATCAGTTAAGCAGGACATTAAATTAGGCCTTCGAAACCGAGGAACATTTACGCTGATCCGATCGTGAGTGGGTTTTGTTTTTGGTGGAGGGCAGGGTCGAGGGTGAACGAGGTCACATTTTACATGAGTTGCGTCACAACACAGACCTACCTTACCAATTGGCAACCCCTAAGAAAAAGAAACCAAAACATCGGTGACATTCTTCTAGCATTATAATACTGTAATAGAGGAAAAAATACAGATATGTAAATAATTGTCTCAGTGGCATTACAAGGCGTGAGAGGGGGGGGAGTAAGTATCCAGTTAATATAACAAAATAGTAAAAAGAGAGGGGTGACACAAAACCGAAAATGTAAATTGTTGTAGGGGGATAGGGTGACACCCCCCAATGACCGCACGGGTAACATCCGACCCCAGTGGCGTAGCCAGGATCGTCTCAAGGGGGGGGGGGGTCAAATTTTTACCCGGGGACAAACTTTCGATTTGCACCCCCCTCAAACTTTCGATTTGCTATGACCCCCCCCTCCCTGCCTACGCCACTGCCCGACCCATTGGCGCCACTGGATTATCTACAATTTAAATAACGAATCTATGTGGCTCACAGAATGATTCTCGCGGAAAGTGTTCGTACAATGTTTCTTTACTCGAAATTTGAGATTAGACTTGAATAGCTGGTTCTAAATGGTTCCAAATTTGTGTTGCCAGAAAGCATATTTTTCAACCAAAATTAAATATTGTATAACATGTGTGTAATAAGTACAAGATTACTTCCGGTTCCATTAAGGCTAGAAATAGTCAACGGCATATTTACTAGTAATATAACAGTAATTTAGCAAAATCTTATATTTTTAATTTGGATTAGTAGAGTCAGGGTGTTGTGGTGATTGGGTATGTTATATTTTTAATCTAAATGCTAAACTACGATATACACCATAGATCACTATTGTGTATTTTTATCATGGAAAACAATTGTCTGACATTTATTGTTTACTCTCCCTGGCCATTTCGGTTGACTCCAAGGAGAGGTTGAGGGCAGTTTTTGAAAATATTTGAATTGTTAAAATAATTCTAAACTACTTTTCAGCGGCCTATATATATGATACAGAAATATAAAAATGAGTGTAATCGATGGTTCCCTAAGTCCTAAGGGCTTTATTTTTTTTTACAAATGTAAATACAATTTTGTCCCTTGCCATATTTTTTAAACCATTTTTTTTTCAAAAATTTAGTATAATTACATAGACTTTTCATGCCCATTGTGATGCTTGTCCTTAGCGTTTAACCACACAATAAAAATGTAAATACTTCAATTAAAACGGCCCATTGTTATTGAAGTTTTTTAAGTAAAAGAAAGTAATGTAAATGTACATAGTCTAGTGGTAGAAAATGCTATGTTTACTATAGAATCACACTGTTAATTACCATAATAAAAGTAATTGATTAAGCCTGGTAGATGGCGGTAGTTTTTTTTTCAAGGTTACTGTGACAAGTTACGTTTGTGTTTGCGAGGGTGGGGGGGGGGGGGGGAGTTGGGATTATTTCTTCTATTCACTGACAGGTTGCGAATGTGAACAAACTACAAGGACATTACATTTGAAGAATCCCATTGTAAATGTTCATCTTTTTATGTTAAGAAAACTAATTGCTATATTTTTTTACTTGTCCTAATCTGGTGCTCTCCCCTAATTATAATTAATTTATAAATATATTTCATTTTGCGAAGGGACTGCAATCATCAAAATCCCCAAGGCTAGTTAATAAAAAATATATATTTGAATTCTTACTTCCAGTGTTTCTTTCAGACATGTTCTCCGCGCAAAATAGATATATGATTTATAAATAAAATACATACTTCAACCAGTGCTCGTCCGCCTCTCCTCAAGAAACTACCCCCCCCCCCCCCCCCCCCGCCGCCAAGGAGCAAAATGTCTGAAAGAACCTCATATTAAGCAATACAAAGATACGCTACGTGACATTTCTCGACCCTCCCCTCATGTACTCCTAACGCTTAGCACATATTCACAAAACTACCTCCGGGACCAACAACCTCTATGTGATTGACCTTGGTAGACTACCTAACATACAGAGTTGCTTTCAGACATCTCTTTAAGAAAAAAAAATCTTTGATTCATATAGAAAGTATACAGGGGCCTATTTAAACCAGTGTGGTTCAAGAGGCGTAACTAGCAGAGGGTGCATAGTGCGGCCGCCATGGGCGCCAAACGTAGTAGGAAAAAAAATGTAGTTTTAAGCAGCATTACTGCATTATGCACAATCAGATTTAATTTAAGAAAATAGGCTGTTACTTGGTTTTACGAAATGATTTATTGAATTGGTTTTTTGCGTCAACTTAAATAACACAGTTTGAATTGGGGGGGGGGGGGGCGCAACATTAGTGCTGAAACGGGTCGCTATGCCTCTGTGTCGTCCATCCCCCCCCCCCCCCCGGAGAAAAACGTCTTAAAGAAATGCTGTCTACATACACCCACTCTGCCGTTTAGGTACGCGGTGCTGAGATAAGATTTTAATGCGTGGTAGATGACGACATAAGATTAAAACTACGATTGGGAAAGTCACTTTCGTACGGTTAAAAATAGATCGCCAGTAGCATAATTCCTTTAAATAGATCACAGCCACGGTGAATGATAAGGATGTAGTAAACGGAGGCCACGTTAGTAGAAACCCAACAATGCGTTCTATTTTAATTATGGTGAGTGTTGTTTATAATGGACTTCATACATTTAGGGATGGGGTGTGTAAAAGAAGTCAACGTTTCTTTCAGAATTCTCTTTGGGGAGGTGGGGGGGTGGGCAGGAGTTAACGTTCCCCGGGGAAGTCCACGCAATTTTAAAAATTCTATACATTTGTATAGAAATGTAATATACCATTGTCAGCCATCACCACCCTCCCCCCCCCCTCGATAATATCAAATTTATAAAGCTGCACTGGAGAAGGGGGTGGGGAGATGGAGGATGCAGTGCGTAAGTGCACGTGCAGGAAATACGTCACCAAAAAAAGTGCTCGTCGCTTTCTGTTACGGACGTACTTTGACGTGATAGGCATTCAAACTAGGATTCTAAGAGGGTGGAGTAGTGAATTACTAAATTAGCAACTATTTTTGGGTTTTAAAAAATTAAATCATGCAATATTAATAGGACTGATAGGGGTCGTCCATAAATGACGTCACACTCGTATGGGGGGGGGGAGGGGGATCCGTAATTTTGTGACGGTGTGTGATGAGGGTGGGGGGAAGGGGGGTCAGATGGTGTTACGTCACACTTTTGCATTATAAAAAAGCAATGTTAGAAAACGAGTTTTAGCCGTAATTTCGCGTTTTACAAAACGGTTTTAATAAATTGTTATAGGAATTTATCAAAAGACTCTATGTTTACATAGTTCTGACAATATTTCGGAAAAAAACATTGATGTTTTTTTATTAAGAACAATTCAACAGCCATTTTAAGGGGGGTTGTAGACTGAGGTGTGACGTCAATTTAATGGGTGGGGTCTGGCTCTATGTGACAATGTGTGACGGAGGGGATGGGGGAGGTAAAAATCGTTTTAAAAAAAGCGTGACGTCATTTATGGATGACCCCCATAGTAGAACGCGCAGTTACTAACACGGAAGTCGCGAGTTCGAGACAGTTGGGGGTTATACCCGACCGAACTCCCCCCACATACAGGTACAGTCATGACGGTCTACTGCGGAAAAACCCGATAGGCCCTCGGGAAAATCTCGGTGGGAAAGGAAGGTGCTGTAAAGTCTTATTAATGTTTTGATTTTTTTGTTTAAATTAATTTGTCGGTATTTCTCCATTTTACTATTTATATTCCTTCAAGGCGAAAAAAATCAGGCTTTGGTGGAGAAAAGTAATGAAATTTTAATCTATCGTTGGGGGCCTCCTGGACATACCAGTCCACCCATACCCACATCCTAATCAGGTGATGAGATACACTGGAGAACGAATTCTTAAACAGAAGCGGAGTTTAGGGGTGGTACATGGGGCGGCCGATCCCAGTCCTGTTTTGAAGGGGTCGCGCGCTTTATGATTAAAGAAGTTGTAACACTAGACAAATCATTGTTCAGATAAAATAAGTAATTAAGCAAATAATTATTCTGAATCTGTGTCTTTACATTTAAACTGACATTCGACAGTAAATAACTGTTAGGCCAAGTAGTTTACTTCATCATACGGATTAGCTTTCAGAAAAATACCCCCCCCCCCCCTCTTTTTTTTTTAACGGATAAAAAGTTTACGAACTCGATTCGTGCCTAAGTTCGTGAATTGGATCCAGCCTTGCTGTATAATTTACTGTATATAAACAATGTTTCACACCAACGGAGATACTGATACGCTAACTCAACTCTATGCCCTGCACGGATCGTCGTTACACTTGCGACATACTATACATGTTCCTTTACATGTCTAGGGGAAAAAATCTCGCAGCTAGTTAATGCTAGATTCTCTAAATGAAAATATTTTTTTACATAACGTGTATACCTAATTGTTGTGAGTTTTTTTTTCTTTCCCTAGACATAAACAGTGGCGAAGCTAGAAAAAAGGGCTCCCCCGCAAAATCAAAACTTGCCTCCCCCCAATATGTGTGTGTGTGCGTGCGTGTGTGTGTGTAGATTTTAAAAATATTTTTCTACGCAACCGTGTGTGTTAGTCACTGTAGAAAAATCTTTGCAATGGTATAGTATATATAGCCTACCTGTTTGTTTTTTACCAAACCACTATTAAGGTGTACGAAAAAGATTACTTAGGAAAAAATGCATTTTTATTTTCATCGGAAGCTGGGCCCCCTAAACGGCTTGCCACCCCCCCCCCTCCTCCGCACTGCATGATCTGACGGCATGGTAGTTCCGCCCCTGGACATG